GGGAAGTGACAACAGACCCCTTGCAGCAAGCCCTTTCTTCTCTTCCCAGAGTGTGCCTCCTGCCCCCTCTGAGAGTGACAGCAGCCCCATAGATAGTGATGATAGCATAGAGCAAGAAATCAGGGCTTTCCTGGCTGTCAAGGGACAGTCAGAAAGTCTCGTACCCAAGCCCAGTAATCTCTCCCATGCTATCTGCCTGCCTTCCTCTTCTGAGCATCATAACCTCACTGCTGGCTTTGAGCCTTCCCTCCCTAAAACATTTAAGCTATCACTGAGTCGGAAAAGGAGGCTTCGAGGAGAAAGCAAGGTAGCAAAACAGACTACACCAAAAAAACCAAAAGAGGTGGAAACTGGGTGTTCCCAACTAGGTAATAATAACAACTCACAGATGCCAGTGTTTCAAAATGAGTGTGGACTGAGCAGTCACAGAGAAGCCTGTGAAGTCGGAAGGTGTGGTAACAAAGAGATAAAAGGGCAGCTCATCTCTTGGGAGTTAACTGGGCATGATGATGAGCATGTGGCTTTAGACTCTGCAACCACTTTGGTGCAAGTTCACCAGAATGCAAAAGAACTATTAAAAAGTGCCATCCAAAGTCAAGAGAGAGATGATTCATCTGACAAAAGCAGTTCTCTGGACAGTGATGAAGATCTTGATAGTGCTATCAAGGACCTCTTGAAGTCCAAGAGGAAACTAAAGAAAAAGTCCAAAGACCAAAAAATTCAGTGCAGGAAGAAAGTCCGATTCAGTGACATGGAAATACAGGTGTTGGATGAGCTTGGCAGCGTTCAGCCAAGTGAGTGGGAGTCTAAAAGTCCCCCACTGCTGAAATGCAGCCTCTCAAAATCTAGACGAGAGACTAAGGAGAATGAAATGAGAAACCTCCAAAGCAGTATAAATGGCAGACTTCCAAAGGGAAGACCAGAAAACATAAAGAGCCTACAGTGTGAACTACAAGCTGACAGAGAAGGTAAACCTAAACCAGTTTGTAACCAGAATAATCTACAGGCTGCTAAAACTACAAGATGCCCTTTGAGCGCTCCGTCAGTGGCAGATGACAGCAGCTCAGTGGACAGCGACGACAGCATTGAACAAGAAATTAGGAAATTTTTGGCAGAAAAGGCCAAAGATCCTGTAAGCAATATGGGAATGCAGAAGGATAAAGGGACCACTGACCTGCTGAGAGTGGCTAAGCCAAGCACTAACAAAGGAAAAGCAAGGCTCCAACTACTTGAAACTGAGACTGGCCTGATATCAGCTCAGGGCAGAAAAACTAAGAAGGCACTTCAACAGAGTGGTGGCTTGAGAAGCTCTCGGGGAGCAGAAGGAAAAAGTGCAATAATGCATGATGGTGGGAAAAGTGTGTCCTTTGCAGAAAACATGTGCTTCCATACTACTGTTGAGTTGAAAGCTAAGCAAGGAAGGGCAGGGACTCAAGGTGATGTCAGGGGTGGTTCATCTGCAAAACAAAATGCAGCAGGTAAGAAGGACCTCTCTAGCTCAAAGCCCATGCAGAAAAGCTTTCCAGCCAAAAACAGCAGAGGTGACCCCAGTAAATTACATAACTGCTTGAAAGCGAAGCCTAATTCCAAAAGAAAAAGCACTTTTCAACTAAAAATTTCCAGCAAATTTATAGCTAGTCTGAAATATGCCCGTGAAAGGAAGAGATCCGAGCTTTTGAAAAGAAGGCAAAATGCAGAAAGTTCACTTCCTCTGAGCAGCCCTTCAGAAACGGAGGTAGCTCCCCCCAGTGGTTGTGAACTTAGGCCGGACAGCGAAGCTGTGTTGCAGAAGGAAAACTGTGATAGAGAGGAGAAGACAGGGTCAAAATACGCAACTTTTCCTCAAAAGCTCACAATAGAGGAGATCAATCTCCCTGTAGCAGAAATATGTGAAAAACCAGAGGCTTCTCCTTTGCAAGTTAGAGCTGAAGCAGATAATTATAGAAAGGATAAGACTTTGAGGGATGAGGAGATGAATCTCATTCCAGATCCAGGTCCTCCCCCATTGCAAGGGCCCAGCACGGCAGCAGTAAAAGATGACAGTGTTAGCACAGATATATGTAGCAGTGAGAGCCAAACCATGCACATTAAGGAAGAGGAAAGAGAGAGCCTGCCACGCAATAACAGTCAGGAAGAATCTGATTCAAGTTCAGAAGGGAAAATGTTAGTCCAGCAAAATGGGGAATGTGAATGCAAAGAGAACCAAGATGAGGAAGCATTAAACAGAGGTGATGCAGAATTTAGTGACGTAGCAATAGAGGAATGCCCACGTTCCTTGGTGAAAACCAAGCTATCAACTTTGTAAGTAACTTTTTACAATAACATTCAGCCTTTTTAGAAAATAATTATCAGTGTAAATAGCTTGATAAAGTTTGAGACTAAACTGAAAAAAGATGGGGGATACTGATCTATGTATATCATATATACACATGAATGTGAAGAAAACCTCCTATTTAACAGGTCTGTTGCAGAAAAATATACATAATTTTTGTAGGTTTTGGTAAATTATTTAAAGTGCTTTAAGGAGATATTTTTATAATGATTTTTAGGGTTTTCATTACGACATGATGTTGCAGTTAGCACAGTTGTCATAGACTTGATGATGATACCATTGCTAATTATGCTTTAAATTATATGGAGCATCTGAGCATAAGTACATCACAAGCAAACCTATTTGTGTGCATAATATATTGGCCAGCTGTTAAGAGATTCTAAGAGAAACCACAGCATTTGATAGCAATATTACGTTCTTGGAGTTGCTGACTTGGTGTTTCTTGTAATTAGAATGATTTTGGGCCAGCCCCTAATCATTTTCTGTGGGTCTCACTCTTGCCATGAGAAGTGTTCCCCCAGACCACGGAAGCTAACGCCTCTCTATTGAAGTCCATGCAGCTCCATGCATGTGAGGGGAGGTCTTTCTGTGTAGATCCAGTGGTAAGTTCAGGACTGTAATGTGGACGGTCTTTGAAGGCCTTGCTTCATATTAAGTGGTCTCAGCAATCTTAAAAACATACCATCTGAATGCTCCAAACACCTCTGGTTAGCAGCTATGACAAAGCACAGTTGCAGTTCAATACAGTCAATAACAAAATGGTTTTGGTAGATTGCACTAGAGCTGTATGCTACCTGTAGCATGCACGGCTGAAATAACTCTACAGCTATCCTTGAGTCTCATTTCGATGCCTACAATGAAACAATAACTTTTGACTTTACATTAAGTGTCTTTTTGGTAAGTGGCTCCTAAAAGATGCATTCTGTGTAAAATGTGATAGTCCTCTACAATGTTGTGCAATAGAGCAAACCCGGGCTTGCCATTGGAAGATGCAGCGATCGTTTTCTCAAAAGCTCTGGTTGGGCAACCTTTGTTTGAGTGAGATTCTATGGTATTTTCTATGCCTCTTTTTGATCCAAGTCCTACCTTCTCTCCCTTCCATCTATCCAGCATAAAATCACTTTTACTGACTCTAAATACCATTTCACTCAGAACAGGAAGGTCTCCATGCAGATTGGCACTGGCATACCCACAAGATGTGAATTAAAACTGATGCATGTTGGATAAGTGTATAATTCATGTTACGGCATGACTCCCTGGTTTTTTGCCTACTGTTTCTCTTGCAACAGACTCTGATAATGTGCATAAACTATTTAAGCACACAGAAACTCCTTGGCCCCACTGTCAACTTCCTAATGCAGTTTACTTCCATTAATGGAGTAATTGGTAAAACTGACTAGGAACATCATTTTCAAGGCTTTTGTAACAGCAGTGAACTGGCTGGGTCCTGTTAATTTCCAGGCTGCTCTTAGAGGCATATGACTCTCTGAGAAAGGAAGTCGGGAGCCTTAATGAGGTGGGAAGACCTTAGTTCAGGCTGCTTCTCTTTTTAATGAGCATTGCTTATATTGATTTGGATAAAGTGCGTA